CGAACGCTTTAACCGCTAGGCTATCCCACCGCCCTCCACAAGTGAGAGCACCACAGATACGAGCGAGTAATTATTGCTTAATACCGCTTCAGCAATCTTGCTGCTATTCGCGGCCAACCACAGCTATGGTCAAACAGAATGAATCGTTCTGGTTGTTATTACCGTCATACAGTTTCAAACATACTAAAACTCATCCTGGAATTATTCCTTCATCGAAAAGTTCCAGGAACTGGATTCTCGGGAGAGATTTTCGCAAAAAAATAATAAGATTATTTGTATGCTTCACATTGTCAAAAGGGTGGCCCAGTCGTCTAAAGCGCCACGATTCGCTGCGCAGAGTTGCGTCCCTTGGACACGCCAGAAACCTATGATTGTGGGTTCGAATCCCGGTTCGTCCCGTTTGTTTCTAGGTTTGTCAGAACCATACCCGTGCTCGTGGGTTTCACCGAAGTGGTAAACGTCTGAGACCTGCATCACTTCGGGCTTTCCTCCCACATTAAGCGGACACGCCGCAATGTAACTGGAATACTGTTAAAAGCGGCGTTAAACCCAACTCACTCACATTGTCAAACGTATCTCTACACATAAGACTAAACCATTATGGTGTTGTTTTTTCGAAATGAGGAAACCTTAAAGGTGGAGATACTAAATAGAATACACCATGGGTTTTTTAATATTGGCAATAACGTCCTGGTTAACAGGATAGTCGGTATTTGCCTCGCCATATACCGATTAGGCCTAAGACGGGTTATAGAGTAAATGGCCCTTTGCAAAAATGGCCACGAATTTGGAAGAAAATGTCCAGATGCTGACGGTGCTGGAGGGAAAGTGGACTATGTGATCTTGTGACAGACCATGTGACACAAAAATCAGTGCAGAACAGCTAAACAATAAATGAAACAAGCCATGGATTTATATTAGTTTTGTTTTTCGTAAAGTTTGGTCAATTTTCTCCAAAATTTGTGGCAATTTTCACGAAAAATTGGGAACTTTTTCTCCTGCACCCAAAAAGATTCAGTTGATATTCCCCGTATTTAAAAAAACAAAAAACAGTCGTGATGAATCCTCTCTATATAATATAGAGTCGGGTATGACGAACTTATTTTGTCGGCCATTGTTGTTTGTCTGCAGTCAGCGGGTTGCACTGTAAACAATGTTTTGTTTGTTTGTTTTTTAGCGCCGCACCCAGCAATATCACAGCTATATGACGTGGTCCTGTAAATAATCTGGACCAGACAAACCTGTGGTCGATATTATGAGGTACGAAGACCTGAGTAAAAAAACCTGAGCCAGACAACCAGATCCATTTAGTCGCATCGTGCGACACGGGCAAATTCTCACCGGTAATTCCCGAACACAGAACATATGAACGAAAAGGCTGCCGATTGAAGGGTTTCACGTCTGTGTGTCTGTGTATAACTGGTTTGTTCGCTCAAGACTCAATCATATACAGGTCGCCATCATACAGCTGGATTTCCGCGCTAAACAACAAACTAGCAATCATTACACCATTGCCGAGCTCGTTGCGAAAAATGGTCTAAGGGGGATACGCGTACACAGTTCCGCGCTTCAATCACTAGAAGTGTCAACGCGGCCAGTGGCATTGCTAGAAAGGCTCAAGTCGTGCAGGTGATATATGTTTACCACTTCCATCAAACCCACGAGCAGGTTTTGTTTGGACAGACAATAATCAATATCAGGTCGAACTTTGGATTCCGAGCACCGACCAGATTTGGACATGAGTGACGGATGCAAGTCTGCACAGACAGGTACCTGGTTTCTTACACGATTAAATGCATGTGATAAATAATTAAATACTGGATATTAGTTTTTCAATATCAGAGGTTTTTTGATGCACTCTTGTACAGGGACTCTCCACTAACGCTTGTCATATTTTTGGATGATATGGGAATTATTATGGTTCTGTTCGGATGAACAAAACCTTCCAAATGGCGTGCTGGTTTTCTTGGAGGAATTAGTCAGCAAAGAGCCGGAGTCACAGGAGACTAATCACAAGTTTATTTACAAGAACAGTTAACAATGAACAATTTACAATATCTTAGAATATAGATGAGGGTGCCACAGAGAGTCGGTACAACCCTCTGGGCTTTGGGAGAGAGATCTCATTTTTATCTCATATGCATTTTACCTGATAAGTATTACTTGCTAAACTATAATTATATGAAACGTTGTATAAATATTACACCATGATAACTCACAAAAGCACTTGATGTGGATCTAATTATTATAGGAAAACTTAGTATAAATGTTATATCATGATAATGACCCTCCCCATGTCCTTGAACATTCTTTTCATGACCCTCCCTAACAAGACAAAATACAAAAGAACATCTTTTTAATAAACTGTCCAATTTTTCAAGACCCTCCCCAAATTGAACCTATTTTACTGAAGCCTGGACGTCAAAACTTGGATGAGCACAGCCAGGTCCAAGCCATCAAGTATTTCTCCCTCACCAGCAACAAAATAAATTACTACACATTCAAAACCATTGTGGCTGCCAAATCCCAATTCAGTCCCCTTTTCCAGCAAGCATAACTATTGAAGACTTTTGGATCAGCACCAAAATGATATCCACTGGAGAGTTATTCGTTTTAGTGCTCATGATAATGATTTTATGGTAAAGACCCTTGATCCACCAGCTTATACAGCATCATTTTAGACTATATTTCATAGACACACTGCTAAAAATTAGCGAGGTTTGTATTCCGCAACCCACTTGTCATAGGGGGACTGACAGGATCGAGGGTCAGACTCGGTGACTTGGTCGATGTATCGTCATCATATCCCGATTGCATAGATCGATGCTCATTGCATCAATCACTATATTGTCTTGTCCAGATTTAATTATTTACAGACCGCCATCATATAGCTGGAATGTTGCTGAGTGCGGCGTTAAAAAACAAATCAACCAGGATGGAGAGAAATCCTGTGGTAAGTAACTTTCGGAAAGTTGTAATATATCGGACCATCATTCAGGCGATGTTTCTGACAGATCATGATCTGACAAATACTATCATGAAAGTGTATCCCGTTGATAAGCCGACCCATTTCTAGAGAATCTTTTTTCTGGTCCTCAAAATTCAGCTTATCTGCAGACATATACGGTAATGATAGAGATTGTGATGTTGACTCCACTTCATAACGAGGCTTTAGTAGCGGATGGGTCCATGGTCATTCAAAATGGACTGGTGAGGATGAACGACTGGTCAAGACAGAAATTAACACAACACAAAACTTGATTACACATTTATTTCAAATCTCACTACAAGACACGTAATCTCAAACTGGGCTAGAAATGACCTAAGTAAACAGCATCACCAAATCTAACCATTTCTTACAGTGTATAAACTCAGTGTATGGATAAAACTTCATGCTTCAAGCCTCAAAGTTTAAATTGTTACCAAGTAGCAACAAGCAACAAGTATTTCTTTTCAGCCAGTGGTAAAATCAAGAAGTCAATCCAATATTGTAGCTAGCCAAAAGCATTTGAAATTATCTTTTATCAAAAAACTATTATAATATGTACAAGTCATAGCACTAGACTTGAAATTGTATATTAGTGGAAACTGTACTTGATTTTTGTTATTTGTGACTCAAACAATGATGCAATTTATGTTACTAGATTTTGTAGGTATATCCTTGCTTATCCAATGAGCATTGTCAACTGAAATAAAATACTAATTACATTAATATTTAAGAATGTCTGTTCATTGTGGACTTCAGGAGGTATTGGCTGGAGTTGCAACTTTGAGGCCTGCATGCTTTCAAGCAAATCAGAAGGTTTTAATGAATCTTTTAGGAATATTCCAGGAATATCATTGTAGTGGACATAAAACACACGCACACAGTACCCATTTCAGGAGAAGATATCAGAATATTGATGAGTGAAATTTCTGGTCACTCGGGAACCACACAACCCCAAAATAATTATTTGTGCAAGTACATAAGGCCATATTTTTGGTTTACAGATTTATGGCCCAAAATTCAGGTTGGTAGGTCAAGAAAATAAAATAAATAAACAATTTCAAGTAATGTTTTTTCTTCCTCAAAATGTTGAGTTGTGAGGTGTGGGAGTTTGAACAGCTTTAATTATTGTATTTTTAATAATTTATTTTTTTATTGATGGCAAAAGTAAATACCTACGGGTAAGTTTGGTTTCATAACATTTTACTTATTTCAGGTTGGTGGAATAAACAAAACACTGTTTTTCATTTTCCAAATAATCTTTTCACATTTAAATTTTTTGATCTCAGCAGATTGTTTTTACAAAAAGTCTGGCCTAAAAAGTATTGTTAAAGACCAAAGCAGTCATGTTCGATGTTCGCTGAAGAATTTACATACAGAGCAATAAGTCATGCTAGCTTGGAGATTTGCAGGTAGAAAACGATATGCAGAAATTTGTAAAACGCAAACAAAACAAAAATCGTGTTAACAAAATGCTACCGGTACATGAAAATAAAGTGATCTATAAATACACAAGCAAATTATTTAATATTCACTAAACTAGTTAATTGGACCAAAGAAAATTCTACTAGGAATCTAAACAACATGGAAACCTACCTGTGGAGAAAAATTACAGGAACGTGTTGCCATGGTGACAATATTAAACAACTGTTAAAAGGACTGGAATCAGGTGTCAGTGTCGGCTGACGAACTAGATTGATGTGATATCAAATCCTTTCATCCCTTTTATCACATCCCTCATCCCTATACATCACATCCTTTCATCCCCATTATCACATCCCTCATCCCTATACATCACATCCTTTCATCCCCGTTATCACATCCCTCATCCCTATACATCACATCCTTTCATCCCTGTTATCACATCCCTATACATCACATCCTTTCATCCCCGTTATCACATCCCTCATCCCTATACTTCACATCCTTTCATCCCCGTTATCACATCCCTCATCCCTATACTTCACAACCTTTCATCCATGTTATCACATCCCTCATCCCTAATCATCACATCCTTTCATCCCCGTTATCACATCCCTCATCCCTAAACATCACATCCTTTCATCCTAATTTCCCTACAGTAGGGAGACCCAGACCAAAGTTTGGTGCGCAAAGATCAAGGTTCATACTCGGGCATAAGAAGAGTTTTAAAACTAGATGAAGAGAACAAACGAGGAAATGCTGAGACAGACAATATGTACTACTCAAAAGAAGTTAAGGAATACCCATTTTCTTTTTCTGACCAGCCAATCTGCCATGACCATAGTTACAGGAAAGAATCAGGTGTTCAGTAACTTCTTTTTAGTAGGAAATGTGGGAAACCATTTCTTCCACCTGTTTCCAATCCCTACATCATTTCACACTTATATATATATATATTTCAAGTACATGTATTCCCTATCACAGAACAGCCACTCACACCTAATACCTCACATACTGTACAAGAAATAACATTCATAAACCACAAGTGCAAAATAATAAAATGTTCAACTCAAAAGCTGCCCGTAGAAATTAATGATATTACAATCTGGAGGAAAAAACACACTCCAGGAATACTGTGAGATTCCTCTGTCGGTACTAGGGAGAACAAAGACTGTTACAACTGGTCCATAGCGAGCATTAAGCTTAAGCATTGGTCCAAATGTCATCCATCGCCTTTTTTTGTTCATTCTGAACAAACTGAAGTCATACTTGTCATGAGAGGCATACATACCACTTAAATGCTATACATATATTTTTTATATTTTCATGGCATCTCATTCTGCATCTTTTGAACATTTTTTCATCATCCGTGTGTAAGAATGATCTGACAATAAATTACTAATAAATATTTCTGATTTCTGACTTTTTTCCTGACAACCAAAAATAAACTGTATACCAGCAATTATTTCATCCAGGAAGAAACTAATACCTCAGTATTGAGGTGTTATGTTAGTTGATCAATCTGTCAGAAACTGTTCCATATGATTGCCCACATGCCTTTGTTACCAGTGATATGCCTTTGATACCAGCGAAATACATGTTTCCAGCAATATGCCTTTGTTACCAGCGATATGCCTTTGTTACCAGCGATCTACATGTTACCAGCGATCTACATGTTACCAGCAATATGCCTTTGTTACCAGCGATATGCCTTTGTTACCAATGATATGCCTTTTTTACCAGCGATATACATGTTACCAGCGATATGCCTTTGTTACCTGCAATATACATGTTACCAGCGATATGCCTTTGTTACCAGCGATATGCCTTTGTTACCAGCTATATGCCTTTGTTACCAGCTATATGCCAGTTACCTGCGATATACATGTTACCAGTGATATGCCTTTATCGGCGATATACATGTTACCAGCGATATGCCTTTGTTAACAGCAATATACATTTGTCACCAACGATATGTGTTTCGTGTCTACGATATGCATCAGTAATTTGCATCTCTGAGCCGATAACAGAACAAAATGTGGTAAATATAGCAAGGTAATGATTCATATAGCTTTAAACAATTTTTATAATCATCATCATATTAATAAGCAAAGATAAAGCAAAGAAATAACATAATGACCTGAGAGAGATTCATGTTGAACAAAGGGGACAGAGAAGTTACATTCTCAAGGGAGGTAACTCTTCATCCACTTCACCCTCCATAGCGTGTATAAGCAAATACACCTGCCCTGTATTGATAAGCTGACATGAACATGCCACAAAACCAAATTATGTTAATAGTTAACTACAATATCCAAATCACACAGTCTTTCATTATCATGGATACTAATACTGATATTCAACAGCAGATATCAGACAAATTCAATCTTGTTTTATGTATCACATCTTGTTCATTATCGTAAATGCGTTCCAAAATATATCTCTTTTGGCAAATACAACATTCAGTTATATTACTGTAAAAACTTAGATACGGACAGAGTACAGCTACCAAACGGAAAAGGGACTGACTGACAATTCAGACGTTGTTTGTTTCCGCGGCGATCGACCAGAAGGAAACCAGTCCACACCGGCTGACTACATGTGAATCTTGAAATAATCTCGAAGGTGTGTCAACATTTGACTGGAGACGTCACTGAATTGTTCAGATGACACAAACAAAAATAATAATCCATAAAATGACTAGACTAATTACAGAAACGTTTTGATTTGTTGATAAAACCACTGCTTGTAACAAGGTTCAAGGACGGAGATCTCCGTCCTTCACCTCAAGACTGCTACCCTAAGAGTTCCGTACCTGGGGCTGAAAGTACACACTACAACAGGAGGGTCCCATGTATATACTACCCACAGATAATAAGGGAATGCTTCCACTGCAGAGTTACAATCAACCTTGTGGTGAAAGCGGGAGTCTTCTAGTCCTTCCTGAATTGGACTGCACAAGGGAGCTGAGGATAAAATTTGATCCACTGTCATCTACATGCACTAGTGGGCATTGCAAAAGTCAATAACAATAATAATAATAAATTAATTAATTAATGTATCACTCAAGGTAGCCATACTAATACCGACCATCAATTGGACCTGTTAGGTTAAAGCACTTGAAGTGAAACATATCATTCCCTTATTTCTGGTGGGTAGTATAGCAACATGATGAAAGATCAGTCAACGTGTATGGTATGCACACTGGCAGCTGATGACGTCTGTCTGTCTGTCTGACAGCCCAGCCTGTGAAGACTCTTCTAGCACGGACATCGGGTTATACTCCTGATATGTGATACTAACTGAATACTGAATACATGGATTAGATAAGAACAATGTTATGGGATACTACCTGGATAACTGGAACTAGAAATAATGTCAAAAAACAACTGAGATTCAGCAAACAATATGTTGATATGATAATCTTCACATGGCACTCGGTTAAAACAAAATAAAACAATGCAACAATAAGAGACAGATGATGTCTGTATGTTACAGTCAGGAGGAAGCAGTGCAGCCAGGATGCAGTTACAGCCATCGAGTACAGACGTTACAGAGTCACGGCAGTGTTACAGTGTGATGTCACCTGGAACAGATGTGACGGGTCAAGTCACGGCAGTATTACAGTGTGATGTCACCTGGAACACATGTTACAGAGTCACGGCAGTGTTAGAGTGTGATGTCACCTAGAACAGATGTGACAGTCATGGCAATGTTACAGTGTGATGTCACCTGGAACACATGTTACAGAGTCACGGCAGTGTTAGAGTGTGATGTCACCTGGAACAGATGTGACAGGTCACATGTCAAAGGAGTGTTACAGTCAAACGTCACCTGGAACAGACGTGACAGGTCACGTGTCACGGCAGTATTACAGTGTGATGTCACCTGGAACAGACGTGATAGGTCACATGTCATGGCAGTATTAAAGTGTGATGTCACCTGGAACAGACGTGACAGGTCACATGTCACGGCAGTATTACAGTGTGATGTCACCTGGAACAGACGTGATAGGTCACATGTCATGGCAGTATTAAAGTGTGACGTCACCTGGAACAGACGTGACAGGTCACATGTCACGGCAGTATTAGAGTGTGATGTCACCTGGAACAGACGTGATAGGTCACATGTCAAAGGAGTGTTACAGTCTAACGTCACCTGGAACAGACGTGACAGGTCACATGTCACGGCAGTATTACAGTGTGATGTCATCTGGAACAGACGTGACAGGTCACATGTCACGGCAGTATTACAGTGTGATGTCACCTGGAACAGATGTGATAGGTCACATGTCATGGCAGTATTAAAGTGTGACGTCACCTGGAACAGATGTGACAGGTCACATGTCAAAGGAGTGTTACAGTGTGACGTCACCTGGAACAGATGTGACAGGTCACATGTCAAAGGAGTGTTACAGTGTAACGTCACCTGGAACAGACGTGATAGGTCACATGTCATGGCAGTATTAAAGTGTGACGTCACCTGGAACAGATGTGACAGGTCACATGTCAAAGGAGTGTTACAGTGTAACGTCACCTGGAACAGATGTGACAGGTCACATGTCAAAGGAGTGTTACAGTGTAACGTCACCTGGAACAGATGTGACAAGTCAGGGTAGTGTTACAGTGTAACATCATTCTATGGCCTAGAACAGACATTCCAGTTAACACCACATGACGGCACATGTAACATCTTGGAGATTGAATCTGCACAGCGTGTGTAACAGTAATGGTTACATGTTACATGCTCACAACACTGTAAGTGGGGATTTACACTCTTGTAGATTCAACGACTCCCTCCTCTGTCCATCCATCTGTCCCACCTATGTAGTCTGCAACATACTTGCATCAAGATGGCCCCGCTTTACCCTTGGTCTGAAATATCTGCACCACATCAAAACCAAATAATAAAACACATCAATAAAACGAAACAGTTGCTATGGAAACAAAACAAGTCAAAACAGTCTCTATGGTAACAAAAAAAAAAGAAGCAAAATAGTTGCTATGGAGACAAAATAAAAGCAATCCCATACTATATACACACCTGATCCATTTTGTACAAATATTTCATGGAGTATCACCCTCAGTCATGAAAAGCTTAGAGATTCGAGCATCAAGTAAAACTCGCATAAAAATATAAAAGATCAATATTTCCAATCAGTGTAAAGTTTGTGCTCTATACATGAACAGACCGAGTAGATTCATTTCACCGTCTTAAACAATATTTGACTACCGCAATCGACCTAAATAGTGCCCTTCCCCTAAAAATTACACTGATACTATCGAAATACCTAACTGTAGCATTTTTAAAGAACCCCTTGTATTGTTGCTTTGTGAAATGCTGAGGACTTTTTCCATAAAATGATCTTATCACTGAGATGATTATGATTATACATCAACAGAGACTTAACACAATCCTAGTGCTGAGATTGCTTTGCTCGGGGTGGAACAGTGATGAAGACACTAATTAGGTCGATCACGTATTTGAGATTCATTCAACTGAGACATTTCTGGCTCATCCCGGATGACATGTCAAACATTTGATCAATAATGGTAATATTTACCAATAAATGCATGAAATGTATGCTTAAAATATATTAAAATTTGAACCTCGATACATATATTGAGGAATGGGTTCATTTATATGTGCAAGAACTTTCACAAATGTTGATATTCAGAAATTCAGCTGACCAAAAACGAGACCACTGTCAACTATATGCATTTGTTCTCTATGTCTAACAGTGTCTCTAACAGTGTCAAGATCAAGACTGTTTACAGAGGGGAGATCACTCCCATCCTCAAAGTGAAGGGGGAGACAACTCAGGCCTGCATTCCCATTTTCAGATCTTCTTCAATATCATCCACATCCAACATCCAGTCATGAGGTTTGCGTCCCAACTGAAAAATATATTCATTCTTTGTCTACCATGTCGGTGTCTTAAAAAACCTAATGAAACCTAGGTAACATTCACAGCCAATTTTTTTTGACCAAAAACGTGTACTTCATTTTCACTAAAGACCAAAAAATTGATACATGGAATAAACAGTCCACAAGATCTGATGTATTGGCCATCAATGACAAGTAAATAATGTTGCATAACGTCAACATCTCATAGCCCTATGGGACCCCAGGGATGTGAAATCTCCGCGGAAACGCGGAAAATCGCGTTTTTTAAAACAAAAGTCCTCGGAAAAAATCATCTTCCGCGTAAAAATTAAATATAAAATTTGAAAAAAAAACACTCCGAAAAATATGATCGAAAACCGGAAAACATCCAAAAACGTCCAAAACCCCATAACATGGGGATATATGTTGTATTAATGTCTTATGTTTGCAATGGAATTTTGTTTTTTTCATCAAAAGGTAAGTACAAGGTCAGTTTTTTTTCAATATGCTTCAACATGGGGAAAGTGTCAGACATTGCAAGCTTGTGACAGTTGTCCTTGTGTCTGGGGGATGGGGGTTGAAGTTTATGGCAGTATTGCTCCCAGACCTGGCGGGTAGCCAGGGGCGCGAAAGCTATGCCCGATTTTTTAAAAGTACTGATTTAACTTCGAAATTTTACTGCATCTGCCATCTTGTTTATTTGACTTTGATTTTTGCCATTGACTTATTACATTTCTTGGTGTGAATGTTGTCCAAACTGCACAAAATTGCTTAAAATGCAATCAAATGTTTAAAAAATTTCGGGGGGGGGGCATGCCCCCAGACCCCCCTAGAATTTTCCTCTTTTTTCGGGAAAACCTGCTCACATCCCTGGACCCGCTGGTCATAAGAGGCGACCGAATTCCTCAGGCCTATCTAACAGCCTGCTTTCCTCGGATCTATCTAACAGCCTGCTTTCCTCGGATCTATCTAACGGCCTGCTTTCCTCGGATCTTTCTAACAGCCTGCTTTCCTCGGATCTATCTAACAGCCTGCTTTCCTCGGATCTATCTAACGGCCTGCTTTCCTCGGATCTATCCAACAGCCTGCTTTCCTCGGATCTATCTAACAGCCTGCTTTCCTCGGATCTATCTAACAGCCTGCTTTCCTCGGATCTATCTAACGGCCTGCTTTCCTCGGATCTATCTAACGGCCTGCTTGCCTCGGATCTTTCTAACGGCCTGCTTTCCTCAGATCTATCTAACGGCCTGCTTTCCTCGGATCTATCTAACGGCCTGCTTTCCTTGGATCTATCTAACAGCCTGCTTTCCTCGGATCTATCTAACAGCCTGCTTTCCTCGGATCTATCTAACGGCCTGCTTTCCTCGGATCTATCTAACAGCCTGCTTTCCTCTGATCTATCTAACGGCCTGCTTTTCTCGGACTTATCTAACGGCCTGCTTTTCTCAGACCTATCTTACAGACTTCTTTCCTCAGGTCTATCTTTATTATTAATAATTTTTTATATTCGTTATCTCCTTATCTGGATACAGATAGTATGGGCCACTTTGTGTATTCATGGGCCCGAGTGAGTGAGTGAGTGCCTACCTGGATGTCGGTGAGTACTGACATGAACCTGTTGGTCAGCTTGGCCTCCTTCATGGTGGGGATATCCAGCAGCTGGTTGTTGTAGAGGATCTTCTCCACTGGGCACACCGTGCAGGCAGTGCCAGCACCAAATATCTCCTTCACCTGTCACAAGAAAGCACTGCTATTGTCATATGCTTAAACAATCACCTTCACTCTTTCCCTGTCAAGCCTCTCTCATCATCTGCTGCTCTGTGAACCACACAATCATGCTTTCCTTGGGCCTATCTTGTGTCCCACTTTCTTCGTACCTATCATACGGCCTGCTTCCTCGGACCCTATTGGGCTAAAAAATAATAGTCTTGGTTCCCTGACATCACCCGCATCATCATGAAGTCTGCCGCACATTTGGTTTTATTTCCAGTTTAAAAAATAAAATAAAAATCCTAATACTTTAAGACAATGCAGACAAAAAAATGAAAATCGAAACAAAAACGAAACGTGCAATGAACTTTATGATGATGTGGGCAGTGCCTGAGAACCAAGGTGACCACTGACTCCCTCCCTCACGCACTGACTCCCTCACTCACGCACTGACTCCCTAACCGACTCCCTCACTCACTGACTCCCTCACTCACTGACTCCCTCACGCACTGACTCCCTCCATCACTCACTCCCTCACTCACGCACTGACTCCCTCACTCACTGACTTACTCACGCACTGACTCACGCACTGACTCCCTCACGCACTGACTCCCTCACTGACTCCCTCACTCACGCACTGACTCCCTCACTGAATCCCTCCCTCACTGACTACCTCCTTCACTGACTACCTCCCTCACTGACTCCCTCCCTCACTGACTCCCTCACGCACTGACTCCCTAACTGACTCCCTCCCTCACGCACTGACTCCCTCACTGACTCCCTCCCTCACTGACTCCCTCCCTCACTGACTCCCTCCCTGACTCCCTCACTCACTGACTCCCTCCCTGACTCCCTCACGCACTGACTCCCTCACTGACTCCCTAACTGACTCCCTCCCTCATTGACTCCCTCCCTCACTGTCTCCCTAACTGACTCCCTCACGCACTGACTCACTCACGTACTGACTCCCTCACTGACTCCCTAACTGACTCCCTCCCTCACTGACTACCTCCCTCACTGACTACCTCCCTCACTGACTCCCTCCCTCACTGACTCCCTCACTGACTACCTCCCTCACTGACTCCCTCACTGACTCCCTCCCTCACTGACTCCCTCACTGACTACCTCCCTCACTGACTCCCTCCCTCACTGACTCCCTCCCTCACTGACTCCCTCACTGACTACCTCCCTCACTGACTCCCTCCCTCACTGACTCCCTCCCTCACTGACTCCCTCCCTCACTGACTCCCTCCCTCACTGACTCCCTCACGCACTGACTCCCTCCCTCACTGACTCCCTCACGCACTGAATCCCTCCCTCACTGACTCCCTAACTGACTCCCTCATTGACTCCCTCCCTCACTGACTCCCTCCCTCACTGACTCCCTCCCTCACTGACTCCCTAACTGACTCCCTCCCTCACTGACTCCCTCCCTCACTGACTCCCTCCCTCCCTCACTGACTCCCTCCCTCACTGACTACCTCCCTCACTGACTACCTCCCTCACTGACTCCCTCCCTCACTGACTCCCTCCCTCACTGACTCCCTCCCTCACTGACTCACTCCCTCCCTCACTGACTCCCTCCCTCCCTGACTCCCTCCCTCACTGACTCCCTCCCTCCCTCACTGACTCCCTCCCTCACTGACTCCCTAATTGACTCCCTCCCTCACTGACTCCCTCCCTCACTGACTCCCTCACTGACTCCCTCCCTCACTGACTCCCTAATTGACTCCCTCCCTCACTGACTCCCTCCCTCACTGACTCCCTCACTGACTCCCTCCCTCACTGACTCCCTCACTGACTCCCTCCCTCACCGACTCCCTCCCTCACCGACTCCCTCCCTCACTGACTCCCTCCCTCACTGACTCCCTCACGCACAGACTCCCTCACTGACTCCCTCACGCACAGACTCCCTCACTGACTCCCTCCCTCACTGACTCCCTCACTGACTCCCTCCCTCACTGACTCCCTCACTGACTCCCTCACAGACTCCCTCACTGACTCCCTCCCTGACTCCCTCACTGACTCCCTCATGCACAGACTCCCTCACTGACTCCCTCACTGACTCCCTAACTGACTCCCTCCCTGACTCCCTCACTGACTCCCTCATGCACAGACTCCCTCACTGACTCCCTCACTGACTCCCTCACTGACTCCCTCCCTCACTGACTCCCTCACTGACTCCCTAACTGACTCCCTCCCTGACTCCCTCACTGACTCCCTCATGCACAGACTCCCTCACTGACTCCCTCACTGACTCCCTCCCTCACTGACTCCCTCACTGACTCCCTAACTGACTCCCTCCCTGACTCCCTCACTGACTCCCTCATGCACAGACTCCCTCACTGACTCCCTCATGCACAGACTCCCTCACTGACTCCCTCCCTCACTGACTCCCTCACAGACTCCCTCCATCCACTTACCCGTCCTTCGTTGAGCCCCTTCAACACCTGCTTCATGGTGTATCTCCCTTCAGTCACCTTGAACTCTCCCTGCAACAGAAAGTGGCTTTTAAACAGATGGACAGGTCAGTTACTACCCAAAGAACAGGACCAATGTTTTAGTACTCCATAAGGTTATCATTTGGTTTTATTTAGTGTAGAACCTCAAGTTATCAATGGGTACATAATAGACTGGCATATTGTAAGTTTGACTCTTGTCAAGATATCTTATGAAACTCAAGCCTAAGGTGAGGTGAGGTGAAATTGGGTTTAATGTGACGTCCAAGATTATTGCACTTATATAGCGACATGCATGCACGTGTGTGTGTGTGGCTTCTTGTACTAGTCCGGAATGATGCCGATTTATAGTGCTAGCCCACTGAGATACCATGCCGCAGTTTAACATGAATACCCCAGTCAGACACAGTATACTGACTCCGAGGCGACCAGTCCTTGTTTCAGCCCTTTAATGCCGAGCGCCAGATAGGGAAACAACAAGTACGTCTTTCCGAGAAAGCGGACGCTCTACCACTAGACCACGGAGGCGGTCTCAACCCTAAGGAACATCCAGAGTCCTGATAAAAGTAGGTGTAAGTAAGAGCTGAAGGTTCTCCGGTTTCTGCCAACATTTTGACCTTGGCCACATTCAACACAGTAGTTGTGGAATCCAGCCCCATTCTTCACAATTCACTCATCAAAGCAGACACAATTTATGGGTAACAACTTCTTTACTATATATGATTAAAATCCATAAGTTATGTCTTCTATGTCATCTGTCTACTTTTAAGAAATGCCAACCAAACAATTTAATTCACTTTCTCAAACATTCACTCACCCATCCCCTTGACAACCCACCAATCCCCTCGCTCACCCACCCCTCACTCACTCACGAGCACACTACCCCATCTCTTCACCTATCCACCCATCCCCTCCCTCACTCACTCATCTCGTCACTCATAACCCACTACTTCATCCCCTCACTCACCCACCAATCCCCTCACTCACCCTCCCATCCCCTCACTCACCCACCCATCCCCTCACTCACCCTCCCATCCCCTCACTAACCCACCCATCCCCTCACTCACCCACCCATCCCCTCACTCACCCACCAATCCCCTCACTCACCCACCCCACCCATCCCCTCACTCACCCTCCCATCCCCTCACTCACCCTCCCATCCCTCACTCACCCACCCATCCCCTCACTCACCCTCCCATCCCCTCACTCACCCACCCATTCCCTCACTCACCCACCCATCCCCTCACTCACCCTCCCATCCCCTCACTCACCCACCCTCCCCTCACTCACCCACCCATCCCCTCACTCACCCTCCCATCCCCTCACTCACCCTCCCATCCCCTCACTCACCCACCCATCCCCTCACTCACCCACCCATCCCCTCACTCACCCACCCTCCCCTCACTCACCCACCCTCCCCCACCCTCAACTCACTTATCCACCCTCACTCACCAACCCTCGCCCACCGTCCCCTCACTTATCCACCCTCCCCTCACTTATCCACCCTCCCCTCACTTATCCACCCTCACCTCAGTCACCCCTCACTCACCCACCCTCCCCTCACTCACCCACCCTCCCCCACCCTCAACTCACTTATCCACCCTCACTCACCAACCCTCGCCCACCGTCCCCTCACTTATCCACCCTCCCCTCACTTATCCACCCTCCCCTCACTTATCCACCCTCACCTCAGTCACCCCTACCTCAGTCACCCCTCACTCACTCACCCTCCCCTCACTCACCCACCCATCCCCTCACTCACCCACCCTCCCCTCACTCACCCACACTCCCCTCACTTATCCACCCACCTTCACCCACTCTCCCCTCACTCACCCACTCTCCCCTCACTCACCCACCCTCCCCTCACTCACCCTCCCCTCATTCACCCACACTCCCCTCACTTATCCACCCACCCTCACTTATCCACCCACCCTCACCCACCCTCCCCTCACTCACCCACTCTCGGGCCAGGTCCAGGAGACTCATGCGGGTGATGCCAGGCAGGATGAGGCCGTCCAGTGGCGCAGTGATCAGCTCCTCCTCTGTTGAACACAAAACTCAGGATTTAACACTGAAAAACTTATTATTGACACCATCTGATCTGGAGCCCCATTCCACAAATGGATCTCAGCATCAAGGGCTCGAAGAATAGGCACAGACACGGACGCAGCCAGAGACAGGCTCTGTTCTAGACACAGCTAGCTGGGATTCACACCACGTTGATGGGATTTATGCCACATTGATGATATTTACGCCACATTGATGATATTTACGCCACTTTGATGATATTTCATGGCATGTCAGCCAATGCGGACACAAACAGGTGACTTTCACCGTTTCTGTGAAACCACACGAACACACATATGACGGTGATCTCAATCCATATGAATCTAGGATTCAAACTCAGGATAAGCAGATCCTGACACAACTAAGGGATGCAACTGCAGACATGCTCACCTCCCTGCTCGTTGACCCAGTACATGAAGAGGTTCATGGTGCCGACCTCGGTCAGTTGGTGGTCGGGGCCGTACAGCCAGAGAACCTGTTGACAGTTGTGCTCCTTCAGTGCCTTGTCCTGGATGGCGATGGTGGGGCCGTAGTTCCTGAAACAGACCAGCAATGTCATGGAGCAAAATGGTCCTTGTGCATTTAAACTGCTAAAAGCACCCATTCTTATTCTGCTTCAGACAAAAACAATTCATTTATACAAATCAAGTTGCCCGTGTTCAAGTGTGCACTGCACCATCCTGACTAACTGGGTTCAACTGTACATGTCATTACGTTTGTTTGTTGTGTAACACCACACTCAGCACTAGTCCAGCTACATGACGGCAGTCTGCAAATAATCAAGGCCCAAAAATTCTTAAAAAGAATAATTATGCTTCAGACTGTTGAGTGTGAGTGAGTTTGATTTTACGCCGCTTTTAGCAATATTCCAGCAATATCACGGCGGGGGGACACCAGAAATGGGCTTCACACATTGTACCCATTTCGGGAATCGGAACCCGGGTCTTCGGCGTGACAAGCGAACGCTTTAACCACTAGGCTACCCGACCGCCCCCTTCAGACTGTTGAAAAAAGAAAGAAATTAAATTACAATGTGGCAAGTTGCTTTTCTTAGAAAACAAGTCAGGCACACAGCTTTAAATAAAAAAATATCTGGGTCTGTAGCTGTAGCTGAAAAATATCTAATCTCAATACAAAATCCCAGGACCGATTATCAATCAGTCCCTTAGAGTGAGTGCCGGAGACCAATTCTGACCTGGATGTCATAGGATACATGCAATCACGACACCAGACTCATGGCAATGAGCGACGCACACAGTCTCTAAAGTATCAGGAGTCTCTGTCGCACCAATACGACCCTAATAGTGACACTAAAGACAAGACTTACGATCCCATCTTGTACTGGCCGCAGCTCCCTGGCCAGGCCCGAACATACTTGGGATCAGCGAGGAGAGTGACGGGTTTCAGGCCTGTGGGGAAGTAGGGTCCCACGGGGCCAAGCAGCACATACAGGAGCGCATTGTTGCTCACAGTCACGCCCAGGGTAGGCTGAAACCACAAGGACCCGTTTAGGATGGAGGTACAGTTGGGATGTATCGTACAACAGTTGGGATGTATCGTACAACAGTTGGGATGTATCATACAACAGTTGGGATGTATCGTACAATAGTTGGGATGTATCGTACCACAGTTGGGATGTATCGTACCACAGTTGGGATGTATTGCACAACAGTTGGGATGTATCGTACCACAGTTGGGATGTATAGTACAACAGTTGGGATGTATCATACCACAGTTGGGATGTATTGCACAACAGTTGGGATGTATCGTACCACAGTTGGGATGTATAGTACAACAGTTGGGATGTATCGTACCACAGTTGGGATGTATAGTACAACAGTTGGGATGTATCGTACAACAGTTGGGTTGTATCGTACAACAGTTGGGATGTATTATAGAACAGTTGGGATGTATCATACAACAGTTGAGATGTATCGTACAACAGTTGGGATGTATTATAGAACAGTTTGGATGTATCATACAACAGTTGAGATGTATCGTACAACAGTTGGGACGTTTAATAGAAAAGTTGGGATGTATTATAGAACAGTTGAGATGTATCGTACAACAGTTGAGATGTATTATAGAACAGTTGGGATGTATCATACAACAGTTGAGATGTATCGTACAACAGTTGGGACGTTTAATAGAACAGTTGGGATGTATTATAGAACAGTTGGGATGTATAATAGAACAGAACAGAGTCCAGATTCAAGTTGTGATCAGGTCACATGCATAAAGATTAAAAACATGTGTATTCCCAACGAGGAATTACCAATTATCTGTCCCCGGTTAATGTATAGTGTTGGTGTTAATCCTGATCCTTTGGAGACTTACAGCATTCATTCACAAGAGATGGATAATCCATAATTCTGAGTTTCGAGTAGGTTACTCTATATATTACTCTATGACATTTGAGAAAAAATTAAGAAAAAAACAGCATGAAATGTCAACCCTACAGAGGAACTTCTCTGAAGGCAGTCTGTTGTTCAGATGACGAAATGTGATCAAATTGTGATGTCAATAAAAATGGATGACGTCACATCGTATTGTCTCAAACGTGAAGCACTGTGATGTCACATGGTTTCAACTGACCAATCAGCATTGAGAATTGCTAAAATCATATCGTACTCTACTACACACAATCATTCTTCCCTTGTGGGTAATATTCTAAAATCTCATGCAATGACATGGTGGTATATGGATAGGCAAAATTTAAAAAAAAAGATGTTTCTCACTAAATGTGTAACTTATTTTATGAAATTTTAAAGTTTGGAATTCTTCGTAACAGTCCTAAACATATTTTATAAGGTATCTAGGCGCTTTGCTTTGGCAGCTAATTTTTAATAAATATGGCTGAAGAAAGATCAAGCTGTTCTGTTTTTTAAGGGTACAATTGTAGGAATATTTTTGTTTATCACATCGGGGCATACATTTCCACAGCAGCGGGACAGATTAAGATTAGAAACATTTTTTCATGTCAGAACGAAACTTCAGGGATAGCGGGAGATGGGAAACATGGAAAAAAAGCAGAAAAGCCGATTACTCAAAAATCTTTTTTTTGTCAAAATACTGCATCCCCTCGTTAGGAAAAAATTGTGTACATGTAGAGACTCTCCTAACAGAAATTTGTTTCTGTGCCATCAGGGTCAGACCCTACATGGCCTCGCTGTATGATCACAATGACCTCAATGTCTCCCTCAATTCATTACTCGTAAGCTGAATGTCTGAAATATGTTTCTATGCCCGGCTTGAAGGTAGAGTAAAACATCCACCAAATTATAGTCAATTTATTTCTGCTACAAGGCAACAAAACATAATATTTTTTAATCCTTTTTAACCCAAAGACGAGTATATACAGATATTTCCAAAACTGTCTGTAAAATTAAATGTAAATATTTTTCCTCCTTCATACACAAATACACCAAACAGTTTAGAATTGGTCTCTTAAATCTAAATCTTATAGTCACTGACAATGAAAACAAATTTTGCCAAATTCAAACTGAAATCATGTAGTTTGTATCTAGGGAGAATATGGCTCGACAGTACCCACTCTGAAATGATTTTATTTCAACTTGAGTTGTCTCCCCTGGACCACTGAATAGTCGACTTGTGCTTCTGGAGTCTCATTTCTGTTCATCCAACCAAGCACAGCTGGCTTTAGAACTTAGTACACACCAATATTGCTATGTCCATACAGATATAAGTCTCACAACAAAGTGGAACCTTCACCGAGAGATAAAAACATATCTCTTTTCATTTCAGTGCATACTATAAAGAAAGTAGAGAAACCTGTCCATCATGAAACAAATCACTAACTCATATGATGTAAATGAGACTAATCTAACTGGTTTTTGATGTTTGTTGCTAATGCTGCACTCAGCAACATTCCAGCTATATGATGGCGGTCTGTATTGAATCATGTCTGAACCAGACAATCCAGTGATTAACATCATGATCATCGATCTACGCCATTGGGAAATGCCGACATTCATCAACCATGTCAGCGAGTCTGACCACCCGATTCCATTAGTTGCCTCTTACAACAAGCACTGGTTGCTGAAGACCTATTCTAACATGGATCTTCACGGATGAAGGTATATAAGGCTCAGAGTTGAATGTTTGTGGTTGTTTTTTATCGCCTAATTGTTTGTTTGGTTCTTCTTTAACGCTTCACTCAGCAAAATTCAGCTATATGATGGAGTTCTGTAAATAATCCCGTGATTGACATAACGAGCATCGATCTACGCAACAACTGGTAACATATCTACAAGTAACTCAGTATCCCCCACTATTTCTAACACAGCCCACTTAGATACAATCCCGCAGTTTGACATGCATTACCCACTCAGACACAGCATACTGACTCCGAGCCGACTTGTTCTTGTTCTATCCCATTAATTCCGAGCGCCAGGCAGGGTAACAACAAGTAACATCTTCTGGCTTGACAGGGGGAGCGAACCCTGACATTTGGCTCCCGGATCAGATGCTCTATCAACAAGGCAAGGCCATGTAGGCCAAGTGTTAATAACTGTTCAAGTGCGTGAGGTGGGTTTAACGCCACTTTGAACAGTGTTCCAGTTATATCACAGCATGTCAGCTTAATGTGGGAGGAAAACCCGAAGTGATGCAGGTCTTAGATGTTTACGACTTTGATGAAACCCACGAGCAAAGATCTGGTGCTGACAAACTAATCGGGGTGAACCGGGATTCACACCCACGATCATAGGTGTCTTGCCTGACCAGGGGATGCAACTCTGCACATCATCTTAGACGACCATCCGTGCCCCAATAAGTGTTTAAGAAAAACATGATCCTCGTAAAGTTGCCAGGGGGAATATTTGGTGATGTTGCATTCATTTAAGGGTCGCAAACCTTCTTACAAATTAGGGCTGGGACGAGTCCAAATTTACTGCCCGGGCACGCAACCCCCTATTACCTGACCCTACCTGGGTACTCACTGCAAGTCTCAAGAGTAGGGAACAAAATGTCTGATTGGTAATTGTTTTAACGCAGCCCTGGCTAAAACTATTTAGATACATGTATCAAACAATCAGATCATGCGTACACTGAAGTTGACTGAAGCTTTATCTTTACTCAAACATTTATAAGTCAAAAGGGATGTGTGTATCTTCAGAAAGAAATGCGAACATTAGTGACTTGTAGTGTAACCATTGAGCTATAGTGAGTTTTTGTCATTAAACAATGTATCACGTGACTAACCACAGGTCTGGGTAGTCCTGTGGGTATTGGGTCCTACTCAGGACCCACCCAACCCGAGTACCCGAGTTACACGTCCCAGCCCTATCACAAATTCTTACAAAAGTTTGCACATCGGCTTTTCGATTCATACCTCAATGAACCGAAAACAATACACAGTCAATGCTTATAATTAAATTCGACAACGAAAACATTTTTTTTCCCACAAAGTTTAACTAAAAACAGGTGTATATATCAAAGCAGACAAAAATGACGAGATTGATAAACATTCCAGGTGTAGGAATACATACTGTGGCGTGACATGAATCAGGTGATCGTTTAATTTATACACATAACTTGACACGCCTACAACATCAGTAGCCAATCAACAGAGAATATGATAAAAACAAAGTTCATAGGACCTGTCAATCAAGGCAAGAGGCAAGAAGAACTGCAACAGTCAGACTGTAACAAACCGAAATAAATATGTTCGGGGGAAGGCGGCTGTTTCAAATGACATGGTCAGTTACCGCCAGATTCAAACATTAAATCCCTTAGAACGGGAAGACACAGTTGGAAAAACGCTAGTTAGAAATGAAACCCGAAGACATGAAAGTTGTGGAACCGAGGCGAGTTGGAAAAAACAGGCAAGCAAGCCTGCACATTTGCTGTTTCATTCCTTCTCGGCCTTCGGTCTCAAAGGGTTGTTTGGACAATGAATATGCATGAATTTTACCTAATGTCCTGTGCATGACGATACACGTGAGCAGAAAGGGAATTCCCTCGGCTGTAATAGTGGGATTCCCCAACATTCCGTAGTAATAAAAGAAGTCCGCCTTGGTGGGCATGGCTTAATTCTTTACATTCATTAGGAAATGAATGCAATAACACGTGACCAATTCAGCTATTCAGAATGCAGGAATTTCAATAAACACAACAAAAAATTAATTATACTAAAATAAACTTGCTTCAGACTTCCTTCACAGCTGGCCACAACATGTTTCTGATACGGTGCAGGAATAATGAATGACACACGATATACACGCACTAAAACAGCAGTCAAGACACAGGCAAACTGCTAAATCCATCCGTCACACAAACTCTTCAAAGTCCGAGCCTTTTAGAAGAAAATAATTTTGTTTCATCTTCAAAGTCCAATCATAAAACCATGTCTTATTTATCTAAAAATCCATTAAATGACAAAGCGTTTTCATTCTCAGTGTTTCCCGAATCCTGAATCGCATATTAATCAACCAGGATACATGTTTTTTCAGGAAGAATAACTACTA